GCTCCAGCTCTGAGGCCTCGGCTGCTGAAAGCAGGTTTCTGGCCTTTGTTTACCTTCTGTATTTAAAACAATGTTGCGATCCTGGTGGCTGAAGCCCAGCTGACTAAAGCAGGTTTCTGGGGTTTTGTTTAGCTTCTATATTTGTAACAATGTTTCAAACTGCAAGCTCAGAGGCCGGCAGTAGCAGGCGGGCAACCTGGCTTCCTCTGTCACTGGAGCAAGCAAGCCTCCCTGTTCACGTCAGCTGTCTGGCTGCTGGCCGCCATCTTGGCTGGCAGTTAATTTGCATAATGATATGCTGATTAGCCAATGGGAAGGGTAGCAGAGGTATGGCTAATTACCATGTTTCTCTTTTATTAGATAGGATCTTGCTTTTGAAAGCACAGCATTGCTTTATGCTCCATCAAAAACAATCATGAACTCCCATTTCAAACACCTAAATCTCTCCCTATCTTTCTTTCTAGCTATTTTGGCCTCCATCTTCAACTTCAGAGAATAGACTGATGCTTAGCAATACAGCACAACAACTAAGCAAAGAGACTGTCAAGCTATACTGCTTTAGTTTGAAGCTATTGCTACCTACTGGCTGTGTTCTCTTAGACAAGTTAATCAATCATGCCTCAGTTTTCTTCTCTCTACAAATAAAAATAATAATAGTAACTAACTCTCAACATTACTTGAGAATTAAATAAGTTTTTATGTTTAATGTGCTTAGAATAGCATCTGGAACATAGTGAGAAGGCAATAAATGTAACCAGTTACTCAACTGAATATTTTTCCAATAAATTCAGTAAAGGACCACCTTAAAAGCAGATTATAATTTACAGTATAACCCTATCACTTGGAAGATGAATGGTAAATAATTTAGGGCTGTGTATGTATTTGGTCCTTTCTAAATTCAATAGTTTAAAGACATATTATTCCCATAGGTTTTCCCATTTGAAAAACTAACATCTCATCTCCCAGTCTTCTCCAAAGGACATGAAAGACCTTGCAGCAACCCCTCTCAAGTCAAGTTGTAAATGTATAAATGTGTACAAAATGTACAAGTGTACAAATAAAGGTTTTATTTAAAATGCCAAACTACTCTTCCATAGATGGCCTTGTATACTCAGGATGCCTAACTGCTATTGGTGGGGTGTCCTCTATTTCCCCACCATTGCCAGTGGAAGTGGACTTCTTGGGGTGTTGCTGGAATAAGAATTTCCAGAGGCCCTCACAGGAGGATGAGGTATCCTGGCAAGTGTTATTTCTGTGGAATTAAATCCCTGAGTTTCCAGGTCCCCTCTCCCTCCATCCTGCCAAGGAAAAAGTCCCATTTCATCTTCAGCAGAGCTAGAATTAAAGCCAGAGCTCAGAGTTTCTGCTACATATTTGCACAGTCCAGTCCAGCATCTGGCTAGGTTAGCTTATGTTCCCAGCTGCAGTTCATTGTGTGTAGGATCCACATGGCCATGGGCCATGCAGCTTCTAGGGCCACATGGCTAGGGAGGGAACATGGATGAGTGCAAGGAAGCAGAACAAAAGAGAGAAATCCTTTGTCTGGGGATTATGTATTTCCAAATTTTTGTGGACTTGCATTGGGATCCACCCCTCTAGACAATGATCTTTGTCCTCCAATTAGACTGACAGGCAAGTACCTTCCCTATGTCACCCCAATTCACTGTGCATATGCCCATTTTCCCTTTTGTCTAGTCTCTCCCCCCAGGAATCTGCAGGGAATAGACCAGTGGTTTCCTGGGGAGTGTGTAATTGCAACTTCCTGGTGAAGCTGCCCAGATGGCCGTGTTTATTAGTATAATGTCTGGCCTTCCCTTTGCTCCTTTCCTATTATTATTAACTAGCAAATTACAATGGGAACATAACTATTGCCAGTTTTCTTCACAGCCATAACCAAAAACTCAATTCACCAAATATCACTTGTCTGAAGCATTGTTTCCATTGTTGTATTTACTGTGCAATGGCACAATTAAAAACAAAAATTCCGAAGGAGTAAAAGAGGAAAAGCTACAAAAATCTGATTTGATTTTCCTACACTTTCCCCCTCCTTATTTTTCCAGCAGCTAATCCCCTCTCAAACTGTACAATAGAATAGCTAGACATAAAGGAAAGGAGATAAAACTGGCCAGCCAGTGCATTGTTCTTGCTAATCTGCACCATTTACATAAGGGTTAGAAGGCTTGTTTTATCATTTAAACAGGCTTAAAGGCCTCTTTGCAAATGAGATTTAGTGCCTACAGGAGAATGAATTCTAGCTATTTGGTGAGTTTCTGCCGGACCAGCACTGGGAGCTGACTTGGCAGTAACTTAAGCTACTTCTTTGGCCTCGTCCAGTTTATGCAAAGATTGCTTCCAGCTGCCAAAACTGAAAAGCCTCAAGCTGATTAAATTCTTTCCAGGAGGCGAAAAGGATAAGGAGCAGGTTAAGAGGCCAATAATATTAGATGTTAGACTGTACCTGGGCAAACTTGTGCATAATGCAGGTGGCTTTAGAAGTAGCTTTGAATTTTTCCCCTTGAATCTTCCTTTGAAAGGGAACAGAAGGGCAGACAGCAAATGAGATTCAGAAACTGAGACTTAAAATAGTCCCAAACTGTGAAGTGAGGACAATCTAAAGTCTTTGATTCATTGTTGGTCTGAGTGGCACTGGGCACAAGGATCAACGGCACAGCAAACTCCCTTGCCAGTTAGCACGGAAGATAACTAGGAGGAAAAAATTTTCTTTACACAAAGTACATGCTTTACATCAAAACCTTAGATTTTAAAAATCAAAATCACATTGATATACACTACACCTATAACATGTTTTACCTGGCACACCTTGAACAGATGTTCAGTGTGACCTTGGCCTGAAGTTCAGCAGGGTGAGTAGCACGACCTTGATTAAATTTGCTCCCAGAAGGTGCCAGAGAAGTCACTCCCTCCATTCTTAAATCATCAAGATCCTCTGGAACAACACAAACATTTCAGAGAGAAAAATTAAATTTTAATAGTATTAAGGAGAGAAGTCCATGTTTTCAGGTGTCTGCAAGTAGTTTATAAGTTAAAACATTACATTTCCACTTTGCAAAAATCTTATCTCATGCATCAATTATTATTTAATCATTCTAGATGTTGTTAGAGACAAATTATATGAGAAGATTTATAGGAAGCCAAACCACAACCTCTGCAGCAACTGGACCCAAATAGTCAGGACTAGGGCAATGGCTACCAGCTTCCCTTCTTTTTGTCTTTACTTACAACTCAGAACAAACCAGAAAATGACAGCTATGTTCCCAACTGATTACAAGAGATTCTTTGCTTCTTCTAATTAGCCTGCCTTCCGCTTCCTCATCCAACAATCTCCAACCAGAACATATCTGAAACTTTTTTTCCATTCTAAACCTTTTCTTCTTGTCTTCACCTGGGGAGGAGAATACTGTTCTCTGAAGTCCCTTCCTATTTTTCCAAGATTCTCAATCAAGACTTAAAAGGTCTAAGTTTCCCTTGTAACTTGGTCCTGATATAATAGTACATGCTCTCCTGCTTTATTCAGAAAACAAGGAATCTTATAAAAGGTATTCCATTTACTTGCTCTCAAACTTAGCAAAAAAGGTACATAAAGTTTCAAAAGATAAATTATAATTTTGCCAAACATAATCCATTACTGAGTTTATAGCCTGTGTAAGGAAGGCAGTCTCTTTTGATAAGGCTATAGAGAACCCAAACATTGCAGAGCTCTTACAAAACAACTCAGAGTTCTAGGCTTAACTGGATAATGCAAACAAATTTTCCTGAGATTATAATGACTCTTAGTCCAAGTCATGAACCAACCTTTTGTAATCTGAAGAAGGTTTGTCACTAGGATCCTTCCATAGGCTTCCCCAACTGAAAATCCTTCCATCTACATGAGCAATCTGGACAAATACTTTGGGTTTTAACTCAACTTCATGGAAGTCATCAAAAACGCATCTCCTTGACCTGGTTGCAAAGGCTTATTTCCCTGTTTTAGGGAAATAGCTGCCACTTCAAAATTCTGCTTAACCAGTTATAAGCTTCCCTCTTAATCTCAAGGTTACTCATGCAATGCAGACATTCTATTGCCTGAGAACATACAGCACTTTTCTCCAGCTAATTAACCTCTCATGAGAATGTGTTAACATTCCCTCACATCACCCTTCACCACTGCAACACCCTGATCCTAACAGAACAAGGAACCTCACAATTTTCTTACCTCAGTTAGAAAATGTGCCTGCCTCACCTAGGTTTTTTAATAACTGAAAACTTGACCTAATATTATTCGTTGATAGATCATACATTAAAATTTGACCTAATATTATTCGTTGATATATGGAAACTTGAAACTGGAATGGAATATGCTACCACCAACTTAAGCTTGCCTTTAGAATACAATCTTTTGTGTTATTGCACTTACTTAAGCTTGTCCACTAGCCAAAGACCACAGAATGAATATATATATATATTTAAATATGACTTGGGATGCTTTGGAAACAAAGGTGTTCTCAACTCTGCTGAAAATCCTATCAAAAGTGAACAAGTGTCCTAGCCAGTTTGGCTCAGTGGATAGAGCATCAGCCCATGAACTGAAGGGTCCCAGGTTTAATTCTGGTCAAGGACACATACCTCGGTTGCAGGCTCGATCCCTGGCCCTGGTCAGGGTACATGCGGCGGGTAGCCAATGAATGTCTCTCTCTCACATCGATGTTTCTCTCTCTCTCTGTCTCTCCCCCTCCCTTCCACTCTCTTAAAAATCAATGGAAAAATACACTGGGGTGAATATTAACAACAACAAAAAAAGTGAACAAGCTGTTTAAGACATGTTTAGATATACTCTTATTTCATAAAGATGCAGCTATTACAAAAGCTAAGGCTCATGAAAAAATAAATAATGATGAAGCTCAAGGAAATACTCTAGCAGATCATTTTGCCAAACAAGCAACCTTAACCATAGTTATCATGCTATCTAAACTCTTTGAGGATAAATACTTAAAGGAATTCAAAGAAACTATTATGAATATCAACATCCAGCCCCTAATTCTAGAAAAAAGAAAGAAAAAAATATATGGTTCTAGCTTCACTCAGATAATCCCTGGTGAAGATAGCTGTTGGGTGAGATTACTTGGTTTCAAAGCTAAATTTCTCCATGAAACTACTCATCATGATACAGATAAATTGCTTACTGTGTGAAATCAACATGACTGGGTAAACTTTCAAAGACAGTAGAGGTCATTTTTTAGTCATGTTTTCTTTTGTCAACAGCACAATTCTAGAAAAACTATAAGATGGGATATGGCCAGGAACAAAATCTTCAAGGGCTCTTTGAATACTGCATGAATTTTATGCAGCTTTCACACTCCACAAGATTTTAATGTTTTACTAGTAGTTATATGTTTATTTTCAGGATGGGTTGAAACATCTCTTTGGCAAAAAGCTACAGTCTTTATAGTTGCTAAAAAGCTGCCTTTTTGTTTTCAATATTGAGAATACAAACTTTTATATCAAGTACCCAAGGTACACACTTCCCAAGAAACATAAAAGAACCCCTTACTCAGAAACCATGGAAAGGTGGAATCAATTACATTCTTAAATGAATTCAACAGAACTTTCAGAAACCCTTGAGCTTCCGTGGGCAAAGGTAGTCCCACTCACCCTTATGTCAGTATGGTCCACTCCCTGAGGACACATTGTTTACTTCCCTATGAACTGGTAACTGGAGGGCCAATGTGCTCCAGGATTTTACCTGATACTGAGCTCTACTCTCTGTACCACACCTTGTAAAATACTACATGAGACACATGCACCATACTCAGTCCTATCACCAAGAGGTTAAGGTCACATTCAAAACATCTTCTTATAGCCTCTTCATAATATTCAACTATCGTATTTTGTCCATTGGAAGATACATCTGAAAAAAAATGCTCTTGAACTTCATGGAAGGGATTTTATCAAATACTATAAACTACTAATACAGAAGTAAAACTCTCTGGAGTAAACCCTTAGATTCACATTTCACAACTAAAGAAGCAATCCAGAATCAACAAAACAAGAAGCCTATTATAATAGGGGACCTCAAACAGGATTCTTTAGAACAATCCAATGACCTCAGATAGTGGACAGTTTCTGCCCAAGATGGTGGATCAAAACCCCTACTAATTCCTATTTTGTTTTTCATCCACTTACTTACAATCATTATTCTCATTTTCTGTAGACTCCTGGTTGCTGCCCACCCATGATGGCCCCTTTTCCTCTTCTGTTCTGTTCTAGATTAGAGCGTAATCAGTCTACCACCAATCTCAGATTATTCAGCTAATGTAAGGCCATGCCATAAATAACTCCTTTTCCCCTGGGTACCTGTGTGTTCCTACCAGATACTACTGGATTTCCTTTGCAACCAGCATGGCTAGGATTACTTTCCTCATACTAATAACTCATGCACTTTAGGAATAGTATTGCAAAACTTATCTGTATATAGGCACCCTAATTCTATAAATCATCAAACTGGAAATTGTAATTCAGACATGAGCTCCAAATGAGGCTACCCTTGATTATTCAGGCACTTTACCTGGGGGAGTTACTGTTTCATTGTTTATACAAATAAAGCAGTAACTATATATATAAAGCCCTAATACGCAAACAGACCGAACGGCGGAACAACCGAACAACCGGTCACTATGACATGCTCTGACCACCAGGGGGCACACGCAGAAGATGGCAGGTGTCAGCCGTGGCGTGATGGTGGAGCAGGTGAACGGGGGCACCAGACCAAGTCAGGGTGCCGGTCAGTGTAATCAGGGTGAGCCTCTGGTGGTCACTGAAAATTCTTTGCTGCTGCGTGCCGCGGTCCCACCTGGCACTTGCACCTGCTGCTGGCGCCGGCCCCACTCACACCTGCTGCCAGCACCAGAGCTGCCGCTCACACCCGGCACTGGCCCCGTTCGCTCGGCACTGTCAGTGAGCACAGCTCGGCAGCTGCTGGCCCTGATCGCCCCTCAGGGCTTCTCCCCCTACCCCTGCTCCTGAGGGGCAATCAGAGCAGTAGCCACCGCTCACACCCACTGCTGGTGCCAGCCCCAATCGCTCCACATCATCAGCGGGTGCGAGCGGGGCCAGCACTGTCAGCACATGGGAGTGGCGGCGGCAGGAGTGGAGCTGCCAGCAGACAGGATACCGAGGGCCATGGCACAGAGGATGGGCCGAGACCCGCCCTTGTGCCTACCGCAGCTTCACAGCCCACAGTTCCTTTCAAGGTGCACGAATCCATGCACTGGGCCCTAGTTTCCAATAATAGGCATCATACAAACAAAATATGTAAAGACATGTATCATTTTAACTCTGACAGAACTAATAAATAATACTACCTCTACCCTACATGAAATATAGATCAGTCTCAATGCCTTGGCAAAAACAGTGATGAACAATCTAGATTTCATATTCACTAGTCATGGTAGTATCTGTGCTACTGATAATACTACTTGCTGTATTTGGCTCAATGAAACAGCTAAGGTAGAAAAGATTATATATCACCTTAAGGCAAAAGCTACCTGACTCTTTAAGATTGATCTCTTATGACCTATGGGGTTGTTTTCTTGGCCTTTGTTGGACAATTTAGATTTTTGGTTCGGAAACATATTTTTCCTCCTTTTTTAAAAATATGTTTTGATTGATTGTTTATAAAGAGCAGAAGGAAGAGAGAGAGAGCAACATCAACATCAATTGTTTGACTCCTGTACCCATCCCAACCAGGACTTAACCCACAAGCTAGGTATGTGCCTTGGTCAAGAATTGAAGCAGCAACTTTTTGGTACACAGAATGATGCTCAACCAACTGAGCCACAAAGGCCAGGACTAGAGTCTACATATTTAAATCCAATAGTCACCGCGCGTAAACAATGTCCAGGGAATGATTAGCACATGATTACACTGCACCGCGCAGTAATTGGTTCTGTT